TTGATATAAAAATTACTGCAGCTGAGAGTCTTTGGAAAGATAATTACAAGTTGATTAAAGTGGCTGATATAAATAAGAATAATGAACTCAACAAAACCAAAAAAAACAATATCGTGCAACTCTTTTGCAATTCATATAGCAGATTAAGATACAGAAAATAAGGAGAATGCAACACCAGTTGCAAAGTGATAACCAAATTTACTGATGCTATGTGAATAGGAAATAGAAGAAAATTCATTGGTTCAACTAGATATAATTGAATCAGAGTTTAGAGCAGCTCTAAAAATAATTCCTGAAACTAGGTCAATGTTTAAAGATATCTCCTCCAACTTAGACAAGTTTTTAAAACTTAATCCATTAAAAACAATTGAGTGGTTATTTTTTGTGCAATAACCTGCAATGAGAAAAAACTAAATTTCAAACTAATTTGCATTGTATATGTATATATATATATATATATATATATATATATATATATATATATATATATATATATATATATATATATATATATATCCGTATAGTGTAGTCGAAAGAGCGTTTTAATGTAAAAAAAGTCTCTTACGACTACAATTACCTCGTCTCTTAAGCTGTATTTGATTGTCGTCGAAATGTCAAAGCAATTAAATTAATGCGGAAGTACATTAAATTTTATTGTTTTTTAAAAAATTTTTTAAAAACCGCAATTATAACAACTAGAAAGTTTTTTTTTATTAGTGATGTTTTTGTTTTTATTTTATTAAAAAACATTTTTAAAACATGCGTAAATGTTGCTACATCAACTATCTTATAGCCTGACTCGCAACGGAGTGCTGCTACATCGACTGACAAATAGCCTGACTCGCAACGGAGTGCTGCTACATCGACCGACAAATAGCCTGACTCGCAACAGAGTGCTACTACATCGACTGACAAATAGCCTGACTCGCAAGGGAGTGCTGCTACAACGACTGACAAATAGCCTGACTCGCAAGGGAGTGCTGCTACATCGACTGAGGGTTTGGTTTGGGCAGGCAGTCTATCATTTGAAAAAAAAAAAATTTAAGTTTTTAAACTTTTTCTGGTCTGGTTTATTAACGCGCTCTTTAAAACTACAGTTTATGGGAAACTCTTTTAAACTACCATGCAAGAGTATATATATATATATATATATATATATATATATATATGCATATATATATATATATATATATATATATATATATATATATATATATATATATATATATATATATATATATATATATATATATATATATATATATATAAGTGCATACAAGACAAATCTAAAGTTGTAAGCAAAGCTCCAGCTTTGTTTACATCATTGTTATTTCTTGTGGAACAACAAAATTTATGAATTTGAGAACTCTGGGCCATTCATTCATGGTTGTACTAACAGAATCTTTTTTACAACATCATGAAGAAAATGCTTTCAAAATTGCAACAACATTAAATCTTCCTCTGGACCTAAAACACTATTTAAGATTTGTTGATGATAGTTTTCGAATAATCAAGAAGCAGAACAATTCCTAATTATCTTGAACAAAACAAAACCATGCAATACAATATATAATCGAAATTGAAAGTGAAAAGAGAACTCTAAATTTCCTCGATTTGACCATAATAAATAACACAAATGGGAAATACAAGTTTAAAGGTTACAGAAAGGAAGCCATTACAAATATTAACATTTGTAATGGCTTTCTATACAAAACCTCACTCAAATCATGACCCCAAGATTCTAAACCTAATATTTAAATTATGTTCACAGGGCTTATTCTATATGCAGTAATTTATATTTACAAGATGAGATTAATTTCCTTATTCAAATATTTACCAAAAATAGGTAGAACATATGCAAATTTAGATGTATTGTTAATTTGTAATAAACGGTCCATAAAAATCAACAAAATTCAATCAGACTCTCTTAACCTCCCTAATGTATCATTACCATGGATACCATCACTATCCCTGAAATTAAGGAAAATATTTGGGAAAGCGGGCTATAAAGTAGTCTCCAAATCAAATCCTAATTTAAGAGCATCGTTAACATAAAAAAACAAAGTTAATTTGCCAAATAATGGTCAACCCAGAACTAACTTAATTGAATGCAATTGCTCAAAGAGATACGTAGGCAAAACAAAACTTGAAATTAAGTCTTGAATACAACAACATTTAAAATGTTTAAACAAGGGGAAACATTGCCAGTCTGAAATAGCCACCCATAATAAGTTTTGCTCGCAAAAAAGAAAGTGGGAAAACAAAAAAACAATTAAAGTGGAAACAAAAAAAAATTGAATAAAAAGTGTACAAAGCTCTTGAAATACAGAGGTATCAATGTTCCCCTTTAAATGGTAGAATTAATCTAAATAATGGCAGTTTGTTAAAACTAAATACTGGACTCTGTTTTTTTACATTTTTACGTAAACAAGAAAAAAGCCATTCAATTGCTGACATCAGTTAATTATAAACTGTTTTATTGTTAAAAAAATTTTTTTATAATTTTACAAGCTGATGATGCTGGTAACCATAATCCAGCCAAAACTTCTAACAAATTATTATTTGTATTAAGAGAATTTATATTATTTTATGTTTTCTTATATATATATATATACATACATATATATATATATATATATATATATATATATATATATATGTATATATATATATATATATATATATATATATATATATATATATATATATATATATATATATATATATATATACACATATATATATTAGGGTTGATGTATAAATATATAAGTAAACATAGCTTAATTAGCCGTAAACATTACAAAATTGCATTTTTATACTTAATGAAAATAGTAATAGTCTAGACTGTTATTTAGTCTAGATTTAGTCTAGAAATAGTATTTATAGACATTTGAATATTTTTTTCGCAGAAATTGAATAGAATTTGTAGGTTCATTATATATTAATATATTTTATTTTCTTTGTTTTTGAAAGCACTTATATATTATAAAGAACTTATAAGTGCTTTATATGCGATATGTCTGCCATTTTAATTGATAAGTGTAAATTAGACTAAGTCAAAATTAAAAGTAGTTTTAGAAGATTCAGAAAGTCAGACACTTATTTTTTATTGATTTACACAGAAAGATAGATAAAAATACAAAGATGTACTCAATCACAAACAATTCTGTAGACCATAGTTTTATAAGAAAATATTTTGCTGCAGAACCTTACTTTTACACATGAAGATTGTAAATCTCAAGAGATCTACATGACTCACAGAACAAAATCAAGTGATGTTGGGCTACTGGGGATGTGCTTGCTTGTCAGACATTTAGCGTACTTAAAGAATATGACAGATTAGAGAGCATTCATTCTATTCTTTTAGATAATGCAGCATCAAACACTGTTTGGAGGAGTGGTTTGGTAGTAAATTTGAAAAAGACAGAAAAGAAATGTCACACAATAGGTTGTAGTCTTCATCAAAAAAAAGAACTTATTAAAATCCCTTTTAAAGAAACTGCATGTAAAAACAACTGGTTCACAAAATTTTAGTGGAAAATGAGGGATAAAATGATCTAAGAAACTACTTGTAAACCTCAAGTACAATTTGAAGCAACTAAAACTTCAATTACAGAAAGTTATATTTCAGCTGAGATATGAAAAGGTCTTAGTCATAATCAAAAGCTTCCTAGGAGTATTGCAAAATAACAATTGTAAAACCTATTTTACAAGTTGTAGATAACAACTTGTAAAATAGGTTTTCTAAACCAAGCTTGATGGTTAACTCTTTCTATACAAACTCTTTGTCTATACACTTGAAACACTTTTCTAAACTTCTTTGTCTATACACTTGAAATACTTTTCTAAACACAAACCTTAAAAAGCTTAAAAAGTTTATGCTCACTTTAAAATAAAATCTTTTAAAACATCCAAACTGACCCCAGATTCTTTTCATCAACATTAATCAATTAAATCTTTTTATATTTTAGAACATAAAAAACTGTGAAAAAAAAAAAAAAATTTTGGTACATGCAAATTTCCTCTATGTGATGAGTAAAAATCACAATGAGCAGTTAAAAACACATTCTCAGATTATAGTTTTTACTCTTAAATCATTTTTTCACTCTAAAATCTGTTTTTTAGTGGGAAACTGTCACTTAACAATTTTAAAGCTAAAAGCGTCTGTCTACCAACATATTAACCATAGACATTATCGTCTGAGTGTTAACAGGATAGGGAATATTTAAGGGTCTATTTAAGGGAATATTTAAGGATCACATTCTCAGATTATAGTTTTATACTATTATAGTTTTTCAGAAAATAATTTTAAAAGTTACTTTTTTTATTTATCATTTATGCAATAGCAGTATGCTATATTTTCATAATAGTATTGTATTATAAGTTTTACACCAACTAAAAAAGGGTTTTCTGATGAAGAAATTACTACTTTCATTTAAAGTAAAACAAAACTTTTCAAAAAAAAAAAAATTCAAGACTTACCCTTCTATTCCTAGAGTGATGATTATAAAATCAACACTCTAGAAATAAAAAACTGATTATAAAATGTGGTGGATTTATGTCAAAAGGATAATATTCTTAGTCATAAAAATATTTGATTAAATTTGTTACATTCTTGATATAAACAATTAGTTTTAGTATTATATATTTTTTAAAATGACTCATTAAACATATAATGGTATATAATGATATAACTTTTTTGATTATTATTATTAAGTTAAATATCATTTGGAATTAACCTAACAATAAAGCAAAAACTTATATGTAAAATTTCTTGCTTTTACTTGTCGTTTTATTTTGTGAAATATACTTTATAAAACAAAACAATAACCTCTATTAATAATTTCTAACTAATAATTATAAGTTTTTCTTTGGTGTGTCAAATTTTTTTGATTTATTTTACAACTATTTGGTATAATAATTATTTATACAATGATTTGGTTAAAAATATATCCTTTAAATATTTATTAAATAAAAAATATATAAAATAACAAATGTACCTTCATATACTAAATCTCCAAACACATAGCTTAAAAAACAAACCAAAAAAATGGAAAATGATTTCTAAAAAAACATTAAAAATCAATTTTTTATCATAACATAACATACATTAACTAGTATGATAATTACACCACATTTTTTACAAAAAAAACTATTTTAAAAATGAAAAAAAAAATAACAACAATCAATTCAAATTTTTAAGGGAAAAAGTTGACAATAACAGGATTACTTGTTTAAAATTATTTTTAGTGACCTAAAGTTAATAATAAGCAAGTAAATCCCATTTGATAAGTTTTCTTATCCACGTTTTAAAAATTTAAATTAAAAAGTAAAAAGAAAATAGAACGATAAAGAAAAGATAAAGGTAATAGAAAAAATATGTTAATAAGTAAACAAGTAAGAAAACATGATAAGTTCAGTTCTTATTAAAACTAAATTTTAACTTATTAACTCAGGTGCACTTGTTGGCTTAAACCACAGATAACGCATACATTGTCTTACTACAGTTAATTGCAACCAATATGACACCATATAAATAAGCCATGGGATGCATGCTTGTTTTATATAAGAAAACACAAAATTGAAAACACACTTGATTATGCTTATGCATAAAATATTATTATAAAAAAAAGTAAAGAAACTCACAATATGCTTATTTATGTTTATTCAAGAGTGCAGAGTCTAATAATTCAAATATTTTTTGAAAACATGTACATTCTAATAGGTAAAAGGATATAAGAAGTTTTGTTAATGTTGTGTGTTTGCTGTTTTTAAAAGCTAAATGATGTTTTGAGGAAATAATTAAAAAATAGCAAATATCAACATTGAAAATTAACATACAAACTTTATTAACAAAGTTAACAAAGGTTCACTAAACACTTCATTCTTATAACTTATTTGGCATTATCACTGAAAACATCATCTACCTCTAGTTAAAAAATCACCATAATTCTTAGTATGTTGGCCTTTTGCTGGATTGATTATAGATGGTTTTGTATTATAAGTATTAAGTCCTTTCAGTTTAATTAAGAAACTTTTTGAGCCATCAAATTTGATCAAGCATCCAGTCATCATCCATTTCTGCCTTTCCTTGTTATACTACTATTAGAACAGTTTAAAACTTTTTATGTTTTCACTGTCCAATGTGAAATCAAAATTTACTTTCAAAACTTACAGAGTGGCAACTTAATATTAATTCTAATCCTGTATCAATAGCTTGTCTATGTCCAGTGACACATACAAAACATTGCTTTTGTCTAATTCTGAATTCAATCATAAAATCCATGCATTTTGTGTTAAACATTTATCTCTAGTAATATAGTTGCAAGTTTTCTTACTGAAAACAACAGGTGAAGTGGGCTCTAATCATTAATTGTTGTGCTGGTTAGATTTGCAAAGGAAAAATTTTTTTAAGTCATGTTGAAATCTGATATCAAACAACTATGCAAAACTTTCTTGATTTGCCTCGTTATAATAAGCATTAGTTGCTTCAGCTTCTTATCAGCTACTTTGTTAGACCTTTTATTTTTTCCTTGCATTTGCAACTTTGTTTACTAGATTATCAATCCTGTATTTCACTGCTATACTAACAATTTAACTTTTTATTTTAAAGAACTTTTTTTTCGTCAAAGTAAAAAGTTCTTTAAAGTAAAAAGTTAAATGAAATTAAAACTTTGTACTTTTTTTAGGTTTTAAGTTGATTTTTATTCCAGGTTTACCAGGTTGAGTAGCAACCCTGAGAGAGGAAGAACAAAAGTTTTGTCTTCTCTGTGCTAAACTTAAAAGCTGCTCGTGTAAACTGAATTTTCTTTATTTTTTTCGACATAATTATTTTTTTTCATGAAAAAAGAATAATAATAACTTTGAAGAGTTAATCAAACAGCATAACAAATATTTTAAACAATATCGTATAAACTTTACAGTAAGAGACAACAGAGAGAAAATGTTTCGTACTATGTTGTTGGATAAATTATGTCATAATCTGATTATGATAATCATAATGCAACAACTGTTACAGAGCTCAATTTGTTACTGTAGTCTCTTACTGAGGCTTACTGCCATTATCTCAATGTAAAGTAAGCGACAAAAATATGTTTATCAAATTCTTATGTTCTAACAAACCGCTTATTTAAAAGAAAATGTACCTGTACTGAGTGCTGTGGTGTTTTTAAATGCAAAATAAATCCTTAATCATTTGAACACGTGCTTTTGTTGTTGAAGTTTGAAATTGTGCGACGCGCAAATTCTGTTCAAGACCTTACGGCTAATATGTCGGCATTATGCATCCGTTAAAATTATCGTTAGAATTGTTAAATTTCCACATTTTTGAGTTCTGAGATAAAACGATTTAAAAAATAAAAATAGAGACGGCATATAAAAACATTTATAGAACATGTTTACTCCCCAACTTTTTTACTTTTAACTTAGGTTTCAATAAAGTAGAAAAACATTATTCTGAAGTAGATAACACTATCAATAACTTGATTTTTTTTTTAAGTGGAGATAGAACAAGATAATGCTAATGTCGCGAATTAACGATACCAAACTATTCCTATCAAGAGACCTAAGAGACCTCTAAACATAGCAAAGTATGCTAAAGGATTATAAAAAAATTGAAGAGCGTATATATAGGATACATAGGGAAGTTAAAGTATACTAATATTTGCCCAAGCCAAAACCATTTATTTGATTTATATATAGTTGTTGTTTTTTTATTTTTAAATATTAGCCAAAGTATAAGCATTTATTTAAGCAATTTATACCCATATGTCTATGCAGTATACATATGCAGTATATGTGTGCATACATTTATACCCATATGTGTATGCAGTGGCCTAGTAAGGTTAGTAGGGGTGGCCGCATTTTATTAGAGGTGGCAAATTTTTACAATTTATCTATTTCTTTTGTTTTTTGCATAAAAATTCTTGTACCAGCATTTAATTTCTATTACTATTATAAAACCATTAAACTGGTTACTATACAGAAAATAATGGAAGAACAACAATCTAAATTCAAAAGATTGTATTATTACATACATATCAAGATATTTGAATTCAATTTGAAACAACGATAAGAACAAGCTGAAAGTTTAAGGATTTCCTTTCTTATTTTTAGAATACTAGTTGCTACGTGATCATATTTTAAGTATGAGATAAAAAAAAAAATTTCTAAACTTTTTTAAAATTTTGCATTTTTAAAAAGTACTGAGAAAATTTTATAAACTGCTTTTCCTAATATAAATTATCCTCGTGTTATGATTAATTTTAAAATTTGTCTCGCTGACATTGTTAAAATTGTTAAACTTACCCCCAAGCCCAACAAGCCCTGTCTTACCTTACATGTATAAGATAAAGTTATTGTTTTTTGAATACCTGTTTTTCACCGCAGATTGGTATGTTTACTTTATCTCACTTCTTTTCACACAAGCTATAATAACTAGGGTAAAAAAAATGTTTTTTGTGCTACTGTCTATATAGATGTTCAAAGTTACCTTGTTTGCAGAGTTATATTAAATGACTAAATGAAAAAATATTATACTCAAAAAAATGTTATACCCTAGTTAGTATAGTATGTGTTTAATTAAAACAACAAATCTGCTGTGAAAAGGGAGTGTTTAAAAAAACAATCATTTTATCTTATATATGTGTATGTAAGCAATGTAGGTAATAGCAAAACATACAATGGATGGAAAAAAGATATTTAGAATGATAATACAATGCGCAATAAAATAATATGTGGGCAACTTTCAATTAAAATTAGCAACTTTTTCTCAAGTCCCATTATAATTTAACAAATGTCTCGTTTTTTCGAGCCGATGTAAGGTTGAACATTTTGAAAAAAATAAATTAAATGGCGCAAAGGAATACGAAGAAACAATTTTCTTACTAAAACATATAAAGTATTTATCCATATATACATTTTTAAAAATATCATTAATTGATAAGACTTTAAAAAAATAAAGCAATCGCCTAAATTAGTGGTAGTCAACTTTTTTATACCTAGCACAAAAATCAATGAAAGTTTAAATTGTCAATAAATAATGACATAAAATTTCCATTGCAGACATTAACATTTTATTATTTTTGTTAAAATAAGTACATATATGTTATCAATAAAATGCCATATATGGCATCAATAAAATGTTAATGTATGCAATGGTAGGCGCATCCGATTGCATGGAAAATGAACATTGTTGGAGAACATTAGGCATTTTTTTTTCCTCTTTAACTGTTATTGCTTCAATTTTACGCTTCACTGTAATATCATTTTATGGCAACTTTTTTAATTCTTGAGATATATCTAGATGAATGGCTGTTGTTATAAATTTTTTTATTAAATGTATTGTTAATTTTTTAGCAATATTTTAACTTTTACCACTTTTTGCAATTAATTTTGTTATGCGTTGAGAGGCAAGAAATCCATCCTTATTCGTTGCATTTTTTTTTTTTTTTTAATGATGCAACTATTGTTTACCGATTTAAGAATATTTTTATGTAGTTCTTGAAAATATTCAATCAGCTTGTCCTTATAATTTGGATGTTTTTTAGATAGATGTTCTCGCAATCTACTTGGCTTCGTTGCCTTATTTAATAATGTTTCGTTAAGTATTTAACACATTGAATTTAGTTTATTTATGATATTTTCTGCGAAACCCAACTTTAAATATTCTGATAAATAGCCACGAGTGTATTTCTTTTTTTAGAACATTTCTTAAAGTTTTCCTCAATTTCTTTATGAAAATATTATTTTAAAGGTTTGACTTGTTGATTATTTAGAAAAACTTTGTACTGACAAATCTTGAAAATTACGAACATTTTCTATTTACCAGTGATTGGTAAAGAAATGTTTTTAAAATAATCTTTCTTTCCCAGTAAGCACAGCTCGTTTTTAAAACGTTTAAAAAAAGTTAATATTCGTTTTTATAAGTTTTTTAAACGTTTTAAAAACGTCCTGTGCTTACTGGGTTCATTTATATATTTTAATACAATTTCATTTGTATTTAATAAAACATATATTTTTGTTCTTGTCACTACTGCAGTTATATAAAAGCAACCATTTTTAATGTTGATTTTTGTTATGGAAAAGTTGTAAACATTAATAACAGGAAGTAATTGCCACTATTAAATTAAATTTTAAAAAATTCATTTTTAAAAACTCGTATATGAGGAATCGAATCTGTGTTTTCACAGTCATGATGAAATGTTTTAGTAAAAATTTGCTCATTATGTTAAAGTTTGTGACTTACATTTCGACAAATATTTTGCAAATGTACTCCGGAAAAATAGCATGTAACTATGAAATCTAGTATAGAAAATTTATTTTTTAGTCTTTAACATTATTTGCAAATAGGTTTTTTTACCTTATTTGCACCATGGTTGTTCAACTAACGGTTATATATATACATATATATATATATATATATATATATATATATATATATATATATATATATATATATATATATATATATATATATATATATACAGGGGCGGACTGGCCATGTGGAAGATGTGGACTATTCCACATGGGCCGTTTTCATAATCTCATAAAAATGTAAAATTCAATAAAATATATAAAAAAATAATTTTTTTTTCACTTATTACTAACGGTTATATACTACATTAATTTTGCCTATTTAACATTATTCAATTTGTTAATGTTACGATAAAAGTGTAGCCAGACGCAATAAATTATTTTTTATATTCATTAATGTTTATATTCTTTAATAATAAACCCGGGTTATCTGTCTCCACAGAGCTCCGTTTCTGTTCGATATTTATTCATTAATGTATATATTTATAAATTAAGCATAACTTTGTAATTTACGTCTGTTATCTTTGCTGCTTTTCCTCATTTTTCGTTGGCCTACAGGGCCGTTAAAAATATTTTTCCACATCATAATAATTTGGCCAGTCCGCCCCTGTATATATATATATATATATATATATATATATATATATATATATATATATATATATATATATATATATATATATATATATATATATATATATATACATATATATATATATATATATATATATATATATATATATATATATATATATATATATATAAATATATATATATATATATATATATATATATATATATATATATATATATATATATATATATATATATATATATATATATATATATATTTATATATATATATATATATATATATATATATATATATATATATATATATATATATATATATATATATATATATATATATATTTGTGCAATCTTACCCCGTTGGATAAGATTGCACAGTTGCTTGAGAAAATACTTCAGGATAATTTAAAATAAGTAATGTCGTCTCTTTATTATTACTACCTATAATTGTGTATACTTTTAATACTTGACAGATTGAAAATCAGGTGAAATTAAACATGCTTGTCAATCTTTGTGTGATATCTCATTTCAAGAGTTATTTTTTATAACTTCATTAAAAGTAATAAATAATGGCAAGAAACTTTAGACAACTTTAGGTATATCATAAAATGTTGCGGGTTTTCCAGTTTTTTTGTTAAGATCCCACAAAAGTTCGATATACTGATACATCTAGTGACTCTAGTTAATGGCTACAGTGTAGTGGAAAAGACAACATCTCTCATTTGCTAAGTTTAGTGTTTTTAAAAGTGTACAAAAAAAATGATGGTCCAAAATTAACAGAACTTTTTGTTTACTAATTTTTTTTGATCTGTTAGATTTAGTAAAATTGCTCAATTAGCCTCACACAACTCTTTTATATAGTGAAATTTATAATACATTGAGGAACTTAATGCTCTTTTGTGCATGTTTGACACGGCACTCACGGCAGCCATTAAAGCTATGTTAATGGCGAAAAAAGTCTTTCAGCACTTTTTTATAAGAAAATGTGAAAGAAATATAGCATTAAATGATATAGGATAATTTAAAACTATGTATATGTTAAAATTTGTTTTAAATTTTACAGTTTTACTTTATACTTGAAAGTTGCGATGCTGCATATGTCCCTACTTTTGGATTTATAGCATGTATTTGTATAATTAATAAAGTTAGGAAAATAAAAAGTTTTTGGATAACTTTAAGTATTGTCTTTTGAATAATAAATAGTGTTATAAAATCTATAAACAATTTAACTTCGTAGCTTCGTAATTGGTTATTTCGCAATGCTACCGCTGATAAGATCGGTGTAACGCAAAAGTTAAAATCTACCGCTTGAACATTTATTTTAAATCTT